GGCAGGGAGAGGGAGAAGCAGGGTCCCCGCCGAGCCACGAGCCCGATGCGGGGCTCGATCCCAGGACCCTGGGATCATGACCTGAGCCGATGGCAGGTGCTTAACGACTGAGCCACCCAGGCACCCCTAAAGCTGAAAGTTTTGTGAGAATTTTCCATTGTCATCAAATCTTCAAGAAAGTAAATTTTTCAGTGGCTTCATGGAATGTAGCAGTGTGGTGTGCGGGAAGTATACCACTCCCCTGTTGGTCAGTTTGAATCTTTACTAGCATTTCTGATTGTTTTGTTGTAATAAATCCTTGGATGTGGAATTACAGAGTTGGTGGGAGTGAACCTTGTAGGTTTGGGGTTCTTCCAACCCAGTCACCGCCTGTGACAGTCCGGCCTGTGCTATCAGGCAGGCCCTGTGGGCAGACATGTGGGAGGTCATAGCCATGGTCAAAGGACGCCCCGGGTTAGAATCTTAGCAAGCCCCTCTCGGGGTAGCCTGCACATGGACAGGCCACTTCTAAAAGCAGAGGTGGGGTCTGAGTTGTGCCCTTATGTCTGAATTGCAGGTGTCCTGTGGTCTGAAGCCATCTTCCTTGAGGCAAGGCCCCAGAGGAAGACCAAGAGCGTCGATGCCCTGAAGAAGTGTGAGCATGACCCCCATGTCCTCCTGGCTGTGGCCAAGTGAGTGGGGGCATCCTCGTGGGGTTGCTGACCCTGGAGACCTGATGGAATCTCTTAGGGTCCTTGGCCACCAGAGCTCCATGATAAAGCACTTTTGCTTTGACCCAAAGCAGGCACATCTCCAGGCAGAGGCCACGCAGACCTATGCTGCCCCAATGGCCTGGGCTATACCTGACCCACAGACAGGCAGCTTCCTGTGGGCCCAGCCCTCCTTCCCTCCGTCCTGGGCTCCTTCTGATGGGAGTGCTCTCTCCGTCTGTGGCACTTTTCAGTCTACACCTACACGTGTCCTAGGTTGTAAGAAGCAAACTTGCTGATGTTGGTCCTCACAGAATTGAAGTAGTAAGCAAAGCAAAGAGCTCTATGCAAGGAAGTTGTTTTTCTTGTGTGAGAGTGAGAAAGCAGACATTTTCACCTTGGTGACCTCAGGGACAATCCAGGGTCTGTCGGTCAGGCCCAGTCAGCCCATCTGGGGGTGCAGAGATGTATGTGCTGGAGACCATCTTTCCTTTAGGGTGCATGATCCCAAGAGCAGGAGGACAGCCAGTGACCTCACACCATCAGCTCAAGTATCGGGGGCTGGGTCAGGGCTCTCTGGGGAGGCATGTGGTGTGCGGGGTGTGGGAGGAAGCTCGGGGCCTTGGGAAGATTGAGTGACGTTGTGGCTGTTGCATGGAGGGCCTGAGAGCAGGATGGGGGCTGGGTGTGTTGAGAGGAGGCTGGGAGGTGACCGGTGTGTTTGAGGTGGAGGGTCATCAGGAAGAGCCTTGGCTGGGCTCCTGGGACTGCTGCTCAGGCCTCACCTTGGGGAGGCGGCACGTGTGGCCCAGGAGCTCCCGTGTGCTGCCGTTGCTGGCTGAGCAGGAGTCTGCCCACCGCCCCCCTCCCCCGCAGCGAGGTACGCCCAGGTGGCGTTGGCCCCACTTCTTAGGTCCTGCCGGACACCTCCTCACCAGCTGCTGCGAGGCTTCCCACCGGCTCCTGAGGCCCAGCTTGGGCTCCTTTGGGGCCCCCTCCCTCCTGCTCTGGGCTTCCGCCTCCCAGAATGACTGTTATGTATGACACTCTGATAGGGCGGCCATAAAACCTCGTAAAAAGCTTTGCTAAAGTAAATAAGTCACTCTTTGCTGTTCCCAGGTTGGTGTTCTGTGTACCTGCTATCTGGGTTTGTGCTCTTTAAGTCATAGTTTATCTAACACCAAGCAATTAAGAATACCACAAGGCTTAAAAAACAATCAAGCTATCGGCATGAAATCACTCCTTGTTGTAACTGAGACCAGCCCAAGCAGCTGCCCTGAACGGCGGGTTCGTGGTTCGGGGGCTGCTCTGGTGCCTGTGGCTACGGGGTCGGGGGAGCCCAAGGCTGTCAGGGGTCACCCCCTGCCCTTCCCACCTCCTGCCTGCACCGGTGTGTCGGGGAGGGTGCTCATGGGCCCTTCACTTGGTTTCTGGCCGTCCTCACTTGTGGCTTCCAGCATGGGCCTGGTTTTTGGGTGTCTGTGTCTGCTGTGGGCCCAAGTTCCTGGTACTGACCCAAGGCCTGTCTTGTCAGTGTTGGCTGGGTTCTGCTGGAGGCTGCGAGGGGCGGGCAGAATGATCTAGAAGGTATCTGTTGAGGAGCAGGTTGAAACTTGACTTTCTCTGATCAAAGTCTTAATGGAGTTTGAAGTTCTTGCTCTATGTGGACTTTTTAAGAAACAGCTGTTTAGACCCTCGAAGGACAGTTGCAGGTTGGTGACCTGGAGCGACACCCAGGGAGCCAGGCCCCCATTCCTCAGCCCTCCTGTTGGGAGCCCAGGGGCTCACCAGGGAGAGGAGAAAACTCTGTGCTGGCCGCAGCAGGGGCTGGGCTCGCCGTCCACCACCCACACGGGCAAGCAGCAGCCAGAGGAGGCCAGGGCCGGGCCACGCCCAGGGCCTCTGTGGCTTGTGCTGGCCAGCACCCTCAGGCACCGTGAGACGGGGCACTTACTCTGGGTCCCTGCACCGATGCTTCCCGACAGGCTGTTCTGGAGTGAGCGGAAGATCACCAAGGCCAGGGAGTGGTTCCACCGCACGGTCAAGATTGACTCAGACCTGGGGGACGCCTGGGCCTTCTTCTACAAGTTTGAGCTGCAGCATGGCACAGAGGTGAGCTGCACATGGCGGCTGGTGACTGGGGTGTGGGATCACAGTAGAAATGAGGGTGGGGTTCAAGCCCTGAGGATTGACCTTGTGCCCCGGCGAGTTCTGTCCTGCTCCACACGAGCCTGGGGTGGCGTGCGGGGGAGCCTGGGCAGCACCCACCCACATCCATCCCCCTGCCCAGTGCTCAACATTGCCAGAGTTGTGCTCGTGGGGTTGGGGATGGCCAGGCTGTCCTGGGATCCCCACAGGAACTGGGAGCTGTGCCACATGGAATCTGGGCAACTCCTTGTTCAGAGAAGGCCGGATCGGGGCACTCGTTTGAGGCACAGACGGGGGGGCTTGACTTGGCTCAGCATCTGTGTGCTGAAGCTAGCTCCTGGGCGGGTCCGTGCAGTGGGTCTTGCCCCTGGAGGAGGGACTGTCTCGAGGAATACACCTGAAAGACAACTCTACGCCTGCCCGCCGGGCCTGGGGCTGTGGGGCTGGGTGAGTGTGGTGGGGTGAGCGGGAGGGGCCCCCTGGGAGGGGCCCTGACTCAGATGCCCACTGGTGCCTGCCCAGGAGCAGCGGGAGGAGGTGAGGAGGCGCTGTGAGAACGCCGAGCCCCGGCACGGGGAGCTGTGGTGTGCTGTGTCCAAGGACATCGCCAACTGGCAGAGGAAGATTGGGGAGATCCTTGTGCTGGTGGCGGCCCATATCAAGAACACCTTCTGATCGTCCAGTCCGTGCAGGGCGCGGCCCTTGGGGCAGCACGTGGAGGAGTGCGTGATAGCAAGGAGCGGGGTGGAAGGGGTCCTGAGTTGTCTAGCCTGCTCTTTAATTAAAAGTTTTCCAGGTCGTGTGTCCGGGTTGGTGCCCTGCTGGTTTTCTCCGCGCCCTTGCCCCACCAGGAGCAGACTCACGTTTGTGGCCCCAGTCGGCTCACCGGGGTTCTTGTTTTCAAGGGGGCCACTTGCAGACAGCCTGTATCCCGCCCAGGAAGCCTCCTTGGGACTGTGTGAGGAGGGCCTGGGAGCTCTTGCTCTGGGAACAGCTGGGACAGGCTCTCCTGGTGATTCATTTATCCCCTCTGGGTGGGGGGCATCACATAGGTCTGCCTGCCAGGGAGTGCAAACAGCAGGCTCAGCTTCCTAAAGTGCCTCCCAAAGCGTGTTGCTAAGGGGTCACTGGGAGGCTCCTTGGGTGTGTGTTTGTGTGTTCAAGGGAAATGTTACCGGAAGAGATTTTCTCATATTTGCATGTGAATTTATTTTTGCTATCATCCCTCATCCCTGGATTGACAAATGCATAACCTGGGAGTCTTAGCGTATTTTCACTGTGGATGCTGTGTGAGGACAAAGGCCTTCCTCAGGCTGTGGACCCCTGTATGTGTGTCGGGCTGGAAACCAGCGGATTCTCTTAGAAGGGGTGTGTTGGCTGCGGCTGCAGACATGTGGCCAGAGGCCATGGGTTGCCGGGAGGCCGTGGGCCAGGGAGAGGAGATGCCACTTGTTCCATGTGGTGCGGAGAAGAGTAGCTGGCCGCTGTCCTCACATGTTCATGTACAAGAAGATTCCAGAGTGGCTCCTGGGTGCCTCTGGGTGTCCCGTGACACCGATGAAGGGGCCTGTGGTGGGGCTCAGTCACTGACCCGCGGCTCAGCCCTCCCCAGGCAGCCCATGTTGGGGAGCGCTTGCCTCCACGGCAGCATCTGGGGCACGGGCAGCTTTGCCTGGAGAGTGCAGGCCCTGCCGGGTCCATCTCTGATGTTCTGGGAGCCACAGGACGCTGCCAGCCCAGAGCGGGCAGCAGACCACCCGTGTGGCCTGGATCCCACTCACAAACTGTGGATCTGGAAATGCTTCCCTGCTTCTCACCCTAAGATGGGCTAGGCCTGAGAAGCGGTGCCGGGAGGCTCACGGGGTCTTCACTGAGACTTAGGAGTCTCCGTTGATCTCTTGGAGGAGGCGGGAGGGATCCTGCCTGTTACACTGAAGAGGGAGACCTGAAGCTTTGAGGAGCTTGAAAAGCAGCCCGTTCCTACCAAGGCCCCGGCAGGAGCAGTGACTCGGCCGCCGTCAGGTGAGGCCTTCTGCGGAGCCCTTGGAAGGTTCTGGAGCATCTGGATCATCCAGTGTGAATGTCTTCTCCTTTGCGTGGGGTTGTTTGTTCTGAGGTGGGGAAACTACTTTCCTCTCTGGGAAAAATGAACCTTAGCTTTTCTTCACTGACATTTCTTCGGTTCCAGCTCAAGGCAAGTTGGCTTCTGGAGGCTGCCCTTGTTCTGAGGTGCTGGCTGTGGGGGTGACCCCCCGGGCACTGCCAGACAGGGCTGTGGTGGCCCAGCTCCCTGAGAGCCTGCTTGGGCGAGTGGCCATGACCTCCCCCAGCAGAAGACCCCCTCAGCCCGGGAGGCCTGAGCGCCAGGAGGAGCCTGGGAAGTCCCGCGCCTGGGACCTGCTGGGGCAGGACCCCCCGGACGTCAGGGTGCGGGGGCTGGTGGCTGTGGCGGGGCTTAGGTCCAGCTCACCTGGGAGCCAGGTTCCCAGAAGAGGCAGTAGCGACTGACCACTGAGAAAGGCCCCTGTGGAGGGGTGCAGACAGGCAGGTCCCTGGCCTCTTCTGGCTACCCTCCCCCCATCTGCGCCCTGCCCTGCCCACCGGACACCCCACCTCCTCCTCAACAGTGCATATCTTCCTGGGGCTGATGGCTTAATCCGAGACCCACTGGATGGGAAGAGAGCCCGCAGCTGCTGGGCTCCAGGGTCAGGTTAATTGAAGAAGCAATTGGATAGGAGGTGGGGAGAGGGAGGGGGTAGGGCTGGGATCCTGGGGCCTCCCTCCTGCTCCCTCCCTCCTTTGCTCAGAGGAGCCAACTTCAAAAGCCTTGTCTGCCTGCCGCCAGCCTGCCCTGCTGCAGCCTGTCCTGGGAAGCCCTGTTGGCCAGGCTTGGAGCAGGAGGACCTGGAGTGTCAGCCACACTCCTTCCCTACCTGGGGACCCAGGATCATGTGCAAGGCCCACTGGTGGGAGTGAGGGAGGGCCTCGCCCTGAGAGGCCCATGGTGAGTGGCATTGGGCCATTGGGGAAGGGGCTCACCCACGGCCGCAGAGGGTTTGGGAGTGAGCATATCCCAGGGGAGGCTGCATGACCTTCCGTGCCCTACTGGGAAATCCCCCTCGGTTCCCGTCACCTTGGCCTGGCAGGCCTGGCCCTGGTGCTCTTGCCTGTTCTTCCCGGCAGTGGGGGGAAGGGGAGGGGAAGGAGGGGGTCAGCTGGGCCGTCCTGGTGCCAGGGCTGCCCTGATTCTCCCTGACTGGGCTGGGAGATGGGCAGGCCTTCCGAGGAGCACCTGGGCAGCCCTCCTACGCCATGGGGATCTCTCCAGCACCCACAGCTCTTGCTCTGGCTGTGACCTCTGACCCGCTGGGCATGCCTGGGGGCAGGTTTGAGGAGGGGCCATAGCAAACTGCATCTGCTCCTCCTGCCAATGCTGCACCCCAGGTCTCCGTGCTGGTTGGGGTGCTGTTCGGTCAGGCTCCCCTCCCGGGGCTGGGAAGCGGAGTCGAGTCCTGCGTTTCGCTGGCTTCACATGATTAATTTTCCAGTTGCTGTTTGACTCCAGCTGGGGGGCCTGAGGGTGGGTGTGTGGCCCAGGGTCTGGGAACTAGCTGCTCTCTCTTTGATGTTGGGGCTTCTGGGTGGGGGTGGGCTTCTCCCCAAGCCAGTCCCTTCTGGAGGGGGAGGCCTGTAGAAGGACTGTCTAGTGGGGCACCAAATGGCCCCTTCCTCCCTTGCCCCTGGGGGTTTCCCCAAGCCTTCCCCTCCCAAAGGGGTGTGGCCTTGAGCTCTGAGCCCTCACCCCTGTCCTGGCGGGAGTGAGGGAGGGCCCGCTGGAGGCTGGGGGGGGGCTGGAGGTGCAGGGGTACCCCATTTCCCATGGCTGTGAGAGCTGGTGGTGGCAGATCCATTGATGAGGAGTGGGAGCAGGTCAGTTCTGCCCCTGCTGTGGGGACACAGAAGTGAGCAGTGTTCTGGGGAGCAGGGGGTGCTCCTCAGGAAGAGAGCCTGGCTCTGGTGGGGGTTGTGTCAGGGAAGTGTGGGGATGAGTTAGGGCATGGCCAGGGGAGAGGCCATACCCCTAGACCGAGGTCAGCCCTGCCCCACAGTCTTCTGGGCTCTTGGCCCCGTGCTGCCGCCTCTGGAGTGCCCTGTCTCCTTCCTGGTCCTTCAGGGCTCAGTGGGCCTGCCTTCCCAGCCACTCCCCCTGCCCCCTGTCATTCACCCCGCAGATCTCTGCCTCAAGTGTTGAGCTGTCTGGTTTGCAGGCCTAGGGTCTATCCTTCCTCTGCTCGATCCAGCCTAGATCATGAACGGCACAGTGACCTCTCCGTTTTATACCAGCTCAGAGATTCCCTGGTGGTTGTCTGGGGGGCTGTCCAAAGCAAACTGCCGGAGGGCTTGCTATAGGGGAGGCCCCCTCCACAGGCCTGGGCACCCCACCCTGACCCAGTGTCCCTTCCAGGTGCCTCCTAAGCCTGCACTCTGGGCGCTCCTGCTGGCTCTGCTGGGAATGGCCCCCGGCCAGGCAGGGCTCCGCACCTGCAGCGTCCCTGACGTGCTCCACCACTACCGAGCGGTCATCTTTGAGGACCTGCAGGCCGCTGTGAGGCAGGGTGGGCCAGGGGCACAATGGACTGGGCCAGGCTCCCAACACCTCCATTTCATTCAGAAAAACCTGACTGGACCTGCGGCCCCTGGATGGCGGGGTCGGGTGGGAGCTTCCTGCAGTGCCCAGAAGGTATGGAGGAGACGCCCCCACCCGTGCCCTCTGGTCCCCTCTAGGGGCCTCCTCCTAGGGCTCTCCCCCCAGCCCCCAGTTTCCTCCCTTCCTTCCCCAGGAGCACAGTATCCTACTGTCCATTGCGTCCCTGGGTCGGACCCTGCGCAGGGTGGTGGCCGGGGGCCGCCGCGGGGCACTGGAGAAAGCAGCGTGGACCGTAGCCTTGCGCACCGAGGCGGTGATGCGGCGGCACTGCTGGACGCTGCGCCAGGTGTGCGGGACGGGCCCGGGTCCCTCCCCTCCCACGGGTTCCGCCCACCCCCCACTGAGCCTCCCGTAGCCCCGCGGCGTCGCCATCTGGGAGCTCCAGGGGTTCGACGCAAGCTTGGGCGGGGGTAGGGACCGCGGGCACTCGCTGACCGTCCCGTCCCCACCAGCGGAGCCGGTGGCCCGAGAGGCGCCCTCCCCGGCGTCGCGGCAGCCGGAGGAGGCTCCTGCTGCACGCCCTGGACGCCGTCGCCACCTGCTGGGAGAAGCTCTTCGCGCTGCGCGCGGCGGCCACGGAGGGCGCCTAGCGCGCTTCCTGCGCGGGCCCGGGAACAGCCGGCGGGGCCGCGGAGCCCGGGAACGAGCTTCGTTCGGTGGCGAGCGCGTTCTCTCCCCCTTGTTGGCTCACCGCTGGGTCCCGGGCCCTGCCTTGTCGTGGCCCGCGCTCCTCGGAGGGCCCTAGACCTGGAGGTGATGCGCGGGCACCAAGCCAGGACTCAATAAACTGCTGGTGCTGCGGTCTGGTCTTCTTCCCTTCGCCTGCTGGCGGCGGGGCCGACCGCCCCGGGATCTGCGCCTCGGCGGGGAGCGGGCGCCGGGGGCAACACGGCACCTGTTCGGGGAGCCAGCCTTACCCGCCACACCTGGACGAGGACGAGGGCGCTGCGCTCCCAGTCTTGGGCAGCAGGGGGCGGCTCGGGACCCTGGCTGGGACGCCCCTTGTCAGTGGGCAGCTCCAGGCTGAGGGCGGGGTGGGGGGTGGGGGCTCTAGCGGGCCCTGAAATATCCGGTATCCGTCCTGCTCCACTCTGGAAT